AAATATAATTAGAATAATTATCGAGTTCCAACAAAATAAATAATTATTATCTTTATAAAAAAATTATATTATTAAACCAAATATAAATTATTTCGTTATTGTACATAAATTAAATCATAAAAAAATTGAATTAAAAATTTACAAAAAAAAAATGAGAAATTTCAAATAGTTAATTTGATACCAATATCGATATATTTTTGTCAAATTTTTATGATATATTCAAACATATATTTTATTCAAAAATAAAAACATTATCGCTTTCTCAAAATCACATAAARYCATATTATAATATCGACTGAGATAAAGAAGAAAATGAAATATTAAAATCATGATGTATCTCGCTGCATTGCGCGAGTACGCTTCTAGTATATATATACATGCGGAGGTTCAAACGAGAACACCTCTATTTTACAAGAATGCGAGAACATACTTTTACTATAGATAATCACATGTGATATTATTAGTCCATCACATATAATACACATATGACACTAAATCAGAGATGCGAGCAATTTTCGATGCGATCTTGGTTGCGGGCCACCCCCTCACAAGTATTATCACATGTGATAAGGGTGGTGTTGATATGATACTATAATCCCTCAAGACCATCACAGGTGATGCTAAATCATTGACGCAAATAACCTTTGGCGCGGCCTAGCACTACTAAAAAAAAGGGTATTACCGACGGATTTTTCTGGCGGAAATTCCGTCGGAAATATTCCTGACGGATTTCTGATGGTTCCCAAAAAAGTCAAACAAAGTCAACGTTTATCCATATCCGCCACAAATCCCCCACTGAATTTTTTGGAAAAAAAAATTAAAATTAGTTAAAACCGATTTGTGACGGATTTCTGACGGATTTCTTATTTATTCGAAACCGTCAAAAATCCGTCGGAAATCCGTCGCAAAATTTGTCTAATTTTTTTAAATAAATTAATTAGTGTTAATCCAGAACAATTTCCAACGAATTTCCGACGGAATTTAATTTTTAATAACAACAAATCAAATTCCGTCAAAAATCCGTCGGAAATTGTTTTAGATTAACATTAATTAAACCTTTATATATATATATATATATATATATATATATATATACCTTTGTTAGGAAAAAATTTAAAAAACATTTTTAAAGATTTCCAACGGAATTTAATTTTTATATAAAAAAAATAAATTCCGTCGAAAATTTTTAAAAGCCTTTATATATATATATATATATATATATATATATATATCTTTGTTATGAATAAATAAAAAAACATTTTTAAAAATTTCGGATGGATTTTCGACGGAATTTAATTTTTATTTAAAAAAAACTATATTCTGTCGGAAATCCGTTAGAAATTTTTAAAAACCTTTATATATATATATATATATATATATATATATNTTAAAAACCTATATATATATATATATATATATATATATATATATATATATATATATATATATATCTTTGTTATGAATAAATAAATAAAACATTTTTTTTCTTTTAAATTTTCCGACAGATTTCCGACGGAATTCAATTTTTTAAATAAATTAAACCGTTTTATATATTTATATGTATCTTGTTAGGAAAAAATAAAAAACACATTTTTTTTTAAATTTTCCGACGGAATTTAATTTTTATTTAAAAAAATTAAATTCCGTCGGTATTTTTGTTAGGAAAAAAATAAAAAACATTTTTTTTGAAATTTCCGACGGAATTCATTTTTTTGAATAAAAATTAAATTATTATATTTAATTATTATATTAATTTTAATTTTTTCCAAGTTTAAGTTATTATAAACCTTTTTATTAAATATTACCAACGGAGTAGTCGTATGTTCAGTTACATTTAATGGATTTATCGGCTTTATTCGGTTCAATTGGACTTTTATATGTATTATTGGGTTTTATTGGATTTCGATGGAATTTAATGGATCTTAGTGGATTTTTTTTTTGTTCAAATAGGCTTTAATGGAGCTATTAGATTTTAT